GGGGAGCAGTTGGGGGTTCGGTGCCTTGCTCAAGGACACCTCAGTCGTGGTATCGAAGGTGGAAGAGAGCGCTGTACATTCACCCCCCCCACCTACAATCCCTGCCGGTACGAGACGGTATTGAAGGTGGAAGAGAGCGCTGTACATTCCCCCCCCCCACCTACAATTCCTGCCGGTACGAGACTCGAACCCGCAACCTTTGGGTTACGAGTTCGACTCTCTAACCATTAGGCCATGACTTCCCCAGTAGTGTAGCAATGTATGAAGCACAGTTTACACAGAAGTCACTTCCAAACCAAGAATCTGTGACCAAATTGAAACCGTTGTGAAATATGTGTGGATTCCTATTGAAATGACTGGATTTCTCCAGAAAAAAATTTGCAGAAGAAGAGTAAATGTGACCCTGGACCACAAAACCAGTCATAAGTCGCACAGGTATATTTGTAGCAAAAGCCAACAATACATTGTATGGGTCAAAATGATAAATTTTCCTTTTATGCCAAAAATCATTAGGATATTAAGTAAAGATCATGTTCCATGAAGATATTTTGTAAATTTCCTACCGTAAAAATATCAAAACTTAATTTTTGATTAGTAATATGCATTGCTAAGAACTTAATTTGGACAACTTTAAATGCGATTTTCTCAATATTTAGATTTTTTTGCAACATCAGATTCCAGATTTTCAAATAGTTGTATCTCAGCCAAATATTGTCCTCATATAACAATGATGTATAACTCTCAATTGACCCTTAAAAATGGACCCTTATGACTTGGTTTTGTGGTCCAAGGTCCTTTAGTTTTGGTGTTTGCTCACTTTACAGTTTTTAAGATATTTATGTTGGATTTAAAAAAATCTAACAAATCTATTAGTGTTTCCTAAATAGGTTTTACAATTTGCTAATTTTAGCAATAGTTTTTGCAAATAAATTTCATATAGCAATGTGAACATAATAAAATGATGATATATGAACATTTCGATGCACTAACGTGTAATGGACCTTAAACACCATTTACCTACTTTACCTGACAGTATTAGCAAGAACATTGCCTTCAGCTACATTGGAAAAAGGAAACACTTGTTCATTATCAGTTAACGGTGTGATAAGTTTCTATGCATGATTCATTGAAAGACAGACCTTGTTAGTTGAAGCTCTTTTTTATACAACTGCATCTCAGGGTTTAGCTCCAGATGTATCCGTGTTGTTCATAGTAAACTGAGACTGTACTTTATAATACTTCAGAACTTCTTTATTCTGGGTGCTTTTATATTATTTTATTTAATATGTCATTATTTTTATCTTATTGTCCTGTAGTTTACCTCACTTTGCATGACATGAGGAATGTAATGCAGAGTTCAAAATAGTATTATCTACTTAAAATGCTTGTAAAGTCTTGATTTTTTTTGTAATACAGCTATTTTTCTCTTCATAGACTTTATAATCAGTGCATTTACAATTTTCCTCAAGCTTATGAATTTATTGTGTGTTTTTGGACCAAATAAGCAGGGATAGTAGATTCTTGCTGTAGTCATGTGCAGTTGTCATAGCAACACGTTTGTCTAAAGAATGTCATATGTTAATAAATATGACATCATGTATAAATTAGACCTGTTTCATTAAAATAATTACAGTGGCTATAAAAATCGGCGATTTAAGTAGGTACTAAATGTCCTTTTCCTGTGCTGTTCACCTTTCATTCTCTAATGAGAAGAAAGAACTACTCATGGAAAAGGTGGGAAATATTTTCCAGGTTAGTGGGCGTAAGGCAGGCGTCTCTCATTCGCTGTGACAGAGGGTAGGAGGCCCAGGACAAGCTGTGCACTGCCAGCCCTTACTACAAAATAAATAAATAGCCTAACAGTCTATTATTGCAGTCAGAGGTTCTCATCGTACAAAAAGGAAATTTTGTGTGTTATTCATTTACTTATGGCCCCTACTGGACAAATTCACATTAACACCTTTTTGTTTTTGTGTATATTGGAGTACTATTGTCAGCACAAGCATATTTCACAAATGAATGTCCATTGTGATTAGAACAGTCCAAGCAGGCCTACTTTACACATCCTACACAACAAATTCACCCACTCATTTATTATGGTACAGGCATTCTGCATTCCCTTCTTCTGCCCACTGTACCTAACAGTGATTTTTACAGGAGTAAAAACTGGGCTTTTTTTATGCAAATACTATCATTCCACTTATTCGAAAGCTATTGAAAAACTGTTTAAAAACTGCCAGGGGGACATGTTGTACCCTACTTGTGCATGTGAGGTTTGGGTTATCAGTGCTGGCACAAATAGAACACGAATAGAAATGATCCCTGGTGGACAGGGCCAGCTGGACACTGCACTTTGACCCTGCTTTGATACCCAGCTAAGCACAAATACACATGCCCTAACTGATGCAAACACAGACACCTATTTCAGGACAAACCTTAAGAGACAGAGATCAAACCAATCTAAATGATACCTTAAACACTCACCAGGACTAAAACGTGAGATTAAGACAATTTAAGGTTGTGTGTGTTTGTTGTGTAGCCTACTTAGTACTTGAATTTTATAAATAAGGCAATTATTGAATGTATCAGAAAATACAACAACTGAAACTTTGCAGCAAAACCATTCTGTTTACATGCCTTCCAGTATAAATGCCATGGAAATTATCATGCAGCTAAACTAGCAGCAAAGCCCTACCGAAACCATTACAGCTGGGGGTTCCTGAAGCAAGGGCTCCCACTTCTGTTGAACTTGGGGAAATACACCTTGGCTTACTACAGTACATCCATGCAAACAGTGTTTCTAAAACTTTTTAGAGCATCTGCTTATCTTTTGCATATAGTTTACTGACAAATAAAAGGTTGTTTATGACAAATGTCAATTAACTTTCATTAACATTCAAGATGCATTTTTCTTCTTTTTATTAAAAAATGATTCTTTGTATGTAAATACTTCTGTGTTATCAGGCCATAAAAACTGCATGTATGACATACAGAAATTAAAATGATAAAAATGTTTTGAAACAGTATTAGATGAAGTATACTGTAGCATGTCACAATACTGACACGGCTGAAATGTTATGTCAACTACCCAGATGTCAAGGACCACCATCACCACATCTCAACCCAAAGGACAATATGGCCAGACTCAGAGGCATTAGCACACTCTACTTGATAAAAAAAAATGCTACAGGCAATTTTATGTAATAGCGCACAGAAAATAATATCCGTAACACCTTACAGACATCACTGAAATAACGTTAGATGTCTTGAGACTTGTCACACACAGCACTGAAATCTGTAAACAGCAAAACAACATCCACAACAGCATGAACTACGCTACTACATTGTATTTACTGTGCGTAGCAGGTTGTAGCAGCAGTTCTTATTTACTGTCTGTTCCTGTTCTTATATATTTACTGCTTATTTCATATAAATATACTCAAGTGATATCTTCTACCTCGTCATTTTGAGTTACACACACACACACACACACACAGCTGGTGTAATCAGAAAATATTTAGACATTTAAATTATGAAGAAGAGCTATTCTGTTGCTTACCTTCACTTTGAGTGATCAAAAGCACTTCATGTTTATCCAAACTGACAGGATCTAGAAGGACAGTTTGACTCCTAAATTGATTACGGCATCCGGCCTTTGCAAGTATTCCCCAGTTTCTCTAGGATGCTTCGTAAGTGTCCAGAAAATGATTTCATACCGCCATTTTAAAATGGCCATATCCTGCCATTTCTAAAATAAGAAGGTCACACAGGCGTGTTTATTACTGGCAGGGATTTTGATTCATTTTAGTGACTCGATACTTTTGAATCAGTTCACCAAAAAGATTAATTTATGCAAGTCATGCGTCATTACGCCAGTAGGTGGTGACAAGTAAACTTATTATGAGTGAATCATTGAATCATTATTCACTCACTCAAATCAAAGCATCAAGCAGCACATATAGCTTTTTTATTATTTGGTCAGGTGCTAGCATGTGACTTTTATTATATTTCGCTCGCTTGTTCCGTGACGTCCCGAAAGGTTCATGCGCACTCACAGCCAACACTAGAATACAATTTGCTCGCGCTTGTCAGTCTATTGGAGGCGGGAAAACAGTCACGCGCTTCAGGGAATGAAATAGGCTACTGTAAATTAATCAGTTAAGTAAATGAACCAGGATTCTAGAGATGTTCTTATTATGCTTTGAATGGGCTCACGCACGAAACACCTTGTTTGAAATCAATAGTAAACAATATTATAATCGATATATAAAATAACTAATATAAATATTGGGGTTTTAAACTGCCATAAAAAGGACGTTATTAAAACAATGTAAATAATTTTGTTACCATAAAATAAGACAACATTTTGTAACCATAATATATAGGCCTAAGTATATAAGAAATATATAATAAGAAAATATAAAAAGGTTCTACAAACAACAACAACAACTGCTGTTAAAATGCTTTTATTTTGAGAGCTTTCCCAGTAAAGGTGCAGTTTATTCTTAATGTTAGCCATTTCATTCAGTTTTGGTATCCAAAAGAGTCACTCCAGCTGTCCTTAAGTAACATTTAAGTATCAGATGCTTTAATATTTGCCAGCTGTTAGATGTCACAAAATATATACCTGCTTTTTTTCCCCCTGAGATTTGTACATGGAATGCAATCATCAAAAGTAGTAATACTGTACAATAAATTAAACAATATAAAAATCCACATTGAACACAAAACAAGTACATACACCTATACACTTAACTGGCAAGTTTAAATGGGAAGTGTTAAATTCTGTGAGAGCTTGTAGCTATAGCATCTATTTAGTCATGAATTAATCATTCATTTCACGTTACCAGCATAGTTCAACAAAAACGTCCCATCAAGCTGACCTGTAAACAATGCAAGTGGACCATTCTTCAATTAAAACACTACGGGAACCTTATGGATATATATACATATATATATGTATATATATATATATATATATATATATATTGGATTTAAAATGCAATGTACAAACTCATGCTTTCACATTCAAGAACATTTTTGTCCTGCTGTCAGTTGTTTTTCCATGTGTTTTTCAATATGTGTGACAGTTTTATTGATCATGAGTATATTCATTTTACCTCCAAAATAATTAATTTAGTTTAATATTACTGTCTTCTTGTTTTAGCTTGTGATCCTGCCCAAAATATTAGGCATTGACAGATAAGTATGGTATAAAACATTATCACAGTCAACCACCAGTGAACTTTGAATAGCTTAGCTCTAACTAGCAAGGTATTGTTTGATATCCCAGCAGTTTTATATTATACACTGTAAAGCAATCCAGGATGGGATAAAATTGTATTGCTGCTAACAAAAACATCATTACAATTTACATTTTCGTGTGAACTATTACTTTTAAGTGTTCTTAGCACATTGTGTACCAAATCGGAACTTAAGGGCCCAATTTTACGCAATGACTGAACACAACAGATGACACACTGACAAAGCGAGAAAATGTTTAACATCCACATCAAACATTTTAAATGAACAGTGTGCTGCATTTGACATCTTCCAGGCATTCAAAAGTTTTAGATTCATTGTACAACACCTTACATGTACAATATAAAATGATCCTTTCAAAAAAGATTAGCACTGAAATTCTGGCACAGAGTTGCAGCAGGTTTCTGGAACCAGAGGAGGAAGCGAGTGATGATGAGATGATGAGATCTGATTGGTGTGTTTGAGTTGTTTACGGTGATTACAGCTACGGCTTCCAAGCTTAATGCAGTAATCCTTGGCACTTTGTTGTGATCCTCACTCGCCTCCATAGCATAGTCTGAATGTGTTCATGTGTGAAAGTGTGTGTTGATGTGTGAGTCTGAGATCACCCGGGTACCAAGTGTACAGAAGTAGTGCCTAAAATCAGACTTCCACAGTATCTCATTCTGCTATACCACAATTAGTTCATCCCTCCATTCTGACAATCCAGCAATATCCCTGTAATTCCAATCTTGAATCATCTCACCAGGAAATGACCATAACCAACTCAATTTCATAAACATGAACAAAATCATTTTGCCACAATTGTTGGTTCCTTAAACAATTATTCAGACGCTTCTGTGACCCCCTTCTCCTCTTGAGAGTGTCTTGAAGGGCCATCCCGTTAAAAACAGGGGTTACACACCCAATTTTAACCTGGGACTTTTGACTCTACCTCCTGACTGGACATAGACATCAAGCTTATGAGATATCTGCCATGCCTACACCTCCATGGCTATTACTCAGGGCTGAACCAACCAGATGTTGGCATCTTCTTGCCCCACGTCCTCTTCTTCCTCCTCTTCCTCCTCCTCCTCCAAAGGTTCATGGGTCCTGAGGGCAAGCTCACGGAGAAAGTCAGGTTCATGAGCAGAGTTCTGGGAGGTGGACTTGAGGCCGATCTTCTTCTTGGTGAGATGGAACTGGTCACGAATGAAGTTGTAAAAGTCATACTCAGACTTCATCCTTTGGTAAAGCACCTGTAGGGCCTCTAGAGTGGGCATGTGCTTCTTCACTGTGCCTGTAAGGTTCCCCATCTTCCAAAATGCTGCAGATTTACAAAACTATGAGCCACAGAGAAAGCTACAGTGTGCAATTCAAGACATCTAAAAATCATTTGGAACATGCTTCACTTATTATTGTTTTAAAGTTGATGTGCAAAATGAGTTTACAAAATGTTTCCAGAAGATAATCAAAGAGTGTTTTAATTATTTTTCTTTATCCGAATCTCTGCGTGCTCATTCATTTGTATTCATATTTGCATTCACATTTATTTATTTTCTTTATTTTTATTTAATTTCCCACAAGATTTCAAAGTAATTGAATAAAACACACCTGGACTCTTGTAGATGGTTAGGACATCACTGAAGTAGTGAGGTAGGAGTCTCTCCAGAAGGAGCAACACATCCTCCAACTCCTCCAGAATTCCCACAAGTAGGAAGTTCTCTATAACATTTTGTTTGGCCCTCTCCACAGCCCAAACACCCGGCTCCCTGAGGCAGACCAAAAAAAAACCCCAGCCAATTATTTGACAAGAAAACATACAAAGATTTCAGCTTGCTAAACCAAAGAGATTTTAAAAACATTTATTTGTTAATACAGCATAAGATCGTAAAGGAATAGTCCATCCAAAAATGAAAATCCTGCCATCATTTACTCAACCACATAAGGATGAGTAAATGATGACATTTTACAATTCATTGACAATAAATAAAATGGTAGTCGAAGGGAACAAAAACTGCTTGGTTACCAAAATTACTTCAAAAGATCCTTTCAACAGCATTTTTTGACTTCCATTTTATTTTTTGAACAAAAGTCAATGGGAACCTAAATATTCTTCAAAATATCTTTGTCTGCATATATTTGGAAGAAAACCATGCAGGTTTAGAATGACTTGAGAGTGAGTAAACAATGACAATTTAGATTTTTTTGGAAGAACTACCCCTTTAGGCTTGTGAAAGTGCAGAACTGGAAGAAAATCTGCATGATTTCAAAACAGCTGTTTAACTCTATAATCATCAATAAGATAACAATAAGCATGTGTACAAGTTCAGTGAATGCCATTAAAAAGAGTGATTGTTTTTGGTTTGAAAGCGTTTCAGCCATCATCAACATTATTGCCCAAAGAGTGATGGGTCATAATTACCTGCACTGAGGGTGTTGTCCACAAAAGTATGGAACTATGTAGAAGAGACGTGGGTTAGAGCACTCTGGGTAGTTCTCCATGATGCAAACATTAATGTCCTGCAGTGGAGAACAGGGGAAATGAGTCAGACAGACAGATCCTACAGCCAAAAAGAAAGCAGCACATAGAACACATTGAATCAAAATCACAGACACACTCATTTTCAATGGATTATATGCTTTTAATACGGTATACTCCATCCACTGTACCACCAATCTCTTCTAGTGAACACAAGGGGGCACCACTTACACAAGCAATGAACCACAGTCTTTAGAAAGTCATAATGGTTATCTCTTATAAACGTTATCTTTCCAAAACATAGACTAGGGACCCAATGCATTGACAGAAACAAAGTTTTATCACTTTATCTGATCCAAAAGCTTTAATTACACTGGCGAAGATTAGATGGGAAAATATGTAAAGGCAATCCACCCACACTTAAAACACACAACAGGGGAGGCCAAGGAAACCCAGTGTATTTTGTTTCCTATTTATGTAACAAAAAGAAACCAGACTAGTCAAAGAAAACAAGAGATCAAAACATAATTTCTCCCTCTCCCTACAATACATTAAGTCCTCAGGGAACAACATGGATAAGAATAAAAATATTATTTGGAAAAACAGAGGAGAAAGGAAAGATGTGAAAGAAGATGACAATATGCAATTTCTTCAAAACAACGCAGCCAACAGTGCTATAATTATACTTGTTTAAAATTAAAAGTACAGATTACATGCTGCAAAGAACATGGTCAAGATAACACTTCTTGGAAAAGAGGGCGATTTGTCAAGTTAACAGCCTTGTCTTTAACTTGTGCACAAGAGAGGTTAAGTAAAGACCACATAGCCACGAGGCTCCAGACTCCACGCACTCCTTCCTTCCCTTTCATGAGCCCCAGGTGGGTGCCTAAGAGCTGGAGGGAATCACATGCAAGCTGTGGGTCTTGAAGAAAAGAGCGGTCATGCTGGCAGGTAGAAAAACATACTCAAGAGTTATTTCAGCATTAATCTTTCATAGTAGAATGCCCTTTACACATGACAAGTATGAGCTGATACATGAGCATTATTTCTCTGCCCTTTATTAAGCCCTAATTCAGGAAATGAAAAGGTCCTCTAAAGTTGACACACATTTGCTGCTTTTTAATACATCTTCTTGAAGAGTTTAGAAATCAACTTGGATTACATCAATATCCTGACCATTAAAAGCATGAATATCAGTCAGTTTTGATTATTAATGTTTATGATGGTTTCTCCAGTTTTGACTGACCCTTTGAGACTGAAATGGTGGGTGATTTAAACACTTAAACTGCAGACCTGATCATGTTGGGAATTTTGCTCATTTTAAGCTGGTTTTCACTTTGAGAGTCAACTGGCAACTTTTTTTACTGTCCCCCTCCCAAATTCTGTAGTGTCACTTTCCAAAATACTTACTCTGCATTCCAAATGTTTGAGTGCTTTATTTTTCTTATTAAACCATTTAAAATGTGGGCTTAATGTGGACACATATTAAAAGGCAATTCATAAAATATATGTCCAGGATACATTTCACCCCTAAAACAAAGAACCATTATGAAAAGGTTTTGGGCTTTTTGGACGTTATGTTCTTAGTGTTCAACTTAAAAAAAACTATTAATTGCAATATGTTTTAATATTATATTTATTCTCTTAATTGTCAAATAATTCAAAACACAATTCAAAAATGTGTAATGGTTATAAAATGGGCTTCATATTTAATTTCAATATATAATATTGAATATATCTAACATAATATATATATATATAATATAATATATATAACATATAAATATAACTTTCTTATGATTTTGGGGGTAAATATGACCAGTACATGTTCTTGAACAAAAATAAATAAATAAATTTAAAAAAATCTAAAAATAGGTACCGTAATTACAATATGAAGACATATGTATGGATTGAGATGTTTGCTTAAAAACATTTATTATCTGTAAATAGGACAGCATTCCAAGACATTTACTTTTCACATTCAATTAGACCTAAATGCACAGCATTCTGGGGAATTCTTTATCCAACTTCATCTGATTTCTCTACCCTATCTTACTTTTTCCTTCACCAAACCTTAAAGGGTTAGTTCACCCAAAAATGAAAATTAGCCTGTGTTTTACTCACCCTCAAAGCATCCTAGGTGTATATGACTTTCTTCTTTCAGACGAATCCAATCGGAGTTATATTAAAAATTGTCCTGGGCCCTCCAAGCCTTACAATGGGGTTAAGCGGGTGCTTTTTGTCAACAGTCCAGAAGAGATTAGAAGAGACTGGTTTTCCTTTGCTAAAGTAAGGAAACTTTGCTTTTATTTGCTCCTGTAAACAAACTTGCGAGACTAGCATATCTCAGAGGCGCGCGCTGCGTATACATCCTACGTCATCCGCTGGAATGACTTGCAAATCCATGCGTTTTTGTAAGATAAACATCCATATTTCAAACGTAATAAACACTTTTCTATCACTTCCGCTATCTGTCGTATGCGAAAGTCGTTCCGGTGGATGACGTAGGACGTCAGCGTTGCGTGATTAGTGACGAATGTGGAGAGAGAACAAAACAAAATGCCGGTCACGAATTAAAAGCACAAAATGAGGATTTGTAAAGAAAAATGTCAGAGGACTTCGATATAAACCAAGAAGAGACTGGTTTTCCTTTGCTAAAGTAAGGAAACTTTGCTTTTATTTGCTCCTGTAAACAAACTTGCGAGACTAGCATATCTCAGAGGCGCGCGCTGCGTATACATCCTACGTCATCCGCTGGAATGACTTGCATGTATGACAGTCAGTGGAAGTGAGAAAAAAGTGTTTATTACGTTTGAAATATGTATATTGTTCTTACAAAAATGTATGGATTCGCTACAGGAGGCCCTTATTCACCCCCCGGAGCCGTGTGAGGCACGCTTTATTACGGATGCGCACACTTTATTTCACGTCTTCTGGACTGTTGACAAAAAGCACCCGCTTACCCCCATTGTAAGGCTTGGAGGGGCCAGGACAATTTTTAATATAACTCCGATTGGAAGTCATTTACACCTAGGATGCCTCAAGGGTGAGTACATCACAGGCTAATTTTCATTTTTGGGTGAACTAACCCTTTAATTGTGTTTGTGAACTAGAGCAAAGAGAGCAGATTGCTGTGTTTAACTTGCTTTCGCTGTACTATGAACGTGTTCATTTGTTGACAATATCAAGCTAATGCATTGGCGATTCCTTCAAAGCAGTGGAGCTCCAGGAGGGCCAGCTCCTTTAACAATACTCACTCTGTGTGTATCTGAATAGAGCCGAAAAGCCAAGAGCGCATCAATGTCCTTTCATCCGCATCCCCACTCTGCCCCAACAGAGACACATACAAACTCTGACGGACATGCACTTTGAACGCACACATGCTATTGCTGAAAAACAAACAGGTTATGTTAAATTTGGGCTTCCGTTGACTTTTTGGAATATAAAAAGGGAAAGGATTTAAGTACAGAAAGCCAGATGGCCAAAAGGGCAAATGTCTGCAGAGAACAAAAGGAACAGAAATGACAGATCACCAATTACACAGCAACTTAGAGAACAACCTACTCAATCCCTGAAGAGATAATGATGCCTTAAAGCTGTGCCAGACTTTCAAAACCAACAATTAAAAGCAAATTCAATGAGGAGGAAGATACTGTTTGGTGGAGAGGAGAAAAGAGGAGAGTATAAAAAGAAAGAAAGTCTGTTTGTATATATGAAATTACTTATAAAGTTACAGCAAATGGCTAGTGTGCTTCTGGCAAATGTCCCGAGCAGTAAAAGCGGGCAGTCTTTCACACACAGTCTCTTTCTCTCTCTCTAAGAGGACCCACTTCAGCTCAGGTGACACACTTATTTGGCCTTGTGTTCTTGATTCAGTCCCAAGGTGGCCATTTCACTAAGCACCTAGGAACACAGCCATCGCAATTTACCCCTAAACTACCTCCAGATGGACGTCACCACGCAACACGCTCTTTGCCTGATGTGAAACGAAGCATTTTTGTGTATTCTGTCTAGAAAAAGCTACAAAAAAGAAGAATTCAAACAATAAATAATGGGTATTGCATAAATAATTTTTGACAGACCACTGTTTGAGCAAAGCAGAAGTGAGACGAGACATTTGGAGACAAGATGAGACGATAGGACACGACAGGAGACAAGAAGTCAGTCTGCCACAGAACTGAGAACCTGGATGAGTTCCACTAATAGGGGCAATTTCCTGGCTATGCGCGCGCGTACACACACACACACACATGGTACGGCTTTAATGTTTTCAGTCATTAGTAAACATGGGCAGTACAGTCCTACAGCTTTGAAGGTCTGCCAGCATACCTCACACAAAAAGCGGGTGCAAGGACACATCAGAATGATCTAAAGTGACAGTAAAGACATTTATAATGTTGCAAAAGATTTCCATTTCATATAAATGCTGATCTTTTGAACTTTCTATTCTTCAAAGAATCCTGAACAAAATTTTCCCATGGTTCCCACAAAAATATTAGGCAGCACAACTGTTTTCAACAATGATGATAATAAGAAATGTTTCTTGAGCACCAAATTAGAATATTAGAATGATTCTGTGGGATCATGTGACTGTAGTAATGGCTGCTGAAAATTCATCTTTACCATCACAGGAATAAATTACATTTTAAAATACACAAAAAAATGTTTCACTAATTCTAATAATATTTCACAATATTGCCGTTTTAACTGCACTTTTGGTTAAATAAATGCAGCCGTTGTAATAAATAAATGTAGCATTAAAGGCTTATTTTGAACAGCAGTGTTCCTTTTCATTTTAAGCAGAAGACCTGAAATATAAAGGTTTTTAAGATCATGATATCAAATGTATTCAAATGTGTCAAATCTCTCTCTCTGTATATGTGTGTGTTTTTCACACCTAAGGGTCGGCTGAGACTGGGCCACTGACCCATCAACCAAGCAACACTTATACACACAAACACACTTTAAGCATTGAAAGGAAACCAGCTTGTAAAATTGCAATCACACTAGTTGAGAAAGTCCCCCTCCCCATATACATGGACATTCTCTAATGCTCTAACTAACACTTTAGAAACTCCCTTCACTTGCTTCAAATTAATAGGATGACTTCGCAATCTTCAGTTATTCTACAGCTTTGAGTATGTGTGGGTGTGCACATCCATGCAGATTGTGGGGAATTTCCCAGTACGTCACAGATTATAATAATTAAATTAAATTCAAAAGGAAAGATCAAAAATGAAACTTCAGTAGCATACCATCTGAAGGCTCAGGTCTGACAAAGGGCCCAGCTATTACAGACACATAATCAAGCAAACAGATATGTTTAGTGTGAGATAGATCACAAGCCACAATAATCCTAAACTATAGAAATCAGAGATGTGGTTAACCAGGCCTCCAGGAGGAGAGGGGATCTTAAGAGGAGGTTGCATTCTATATGGTGAAGTTCTGATTATAATTACTGTAGTCTCTCATTAACTAAGAGAAGTTCAATTCCCATCGTAATAGAACTGCTACTGTGTGTTATTTTGGCCTGTGTCGTGTGTGTTCCTTTAAGATTACAAATCATAAAGATGCTCACAAAGCTGCATTTTCAACATCATTACTCCGGTCTTAAGTGCCACATGACACTTCAGAAATCATTCTAATATGATGATTTACTGTTTGAGAAACATTTCTTATAAGTGCTGCTTAATATTTTTGTAAAAACCATGAAATATTTGATGAATATAAAGTTACTTTAAAAAATTGCAGTTACTTGAAATAGAAATCTTTTGTATCATTATAAATGTATTTCAAATGTAATCACTTATTATATTAATCGATTTTATGCATTCCTGTTAGGGATGTAACGATTCACTCATCTCGTCTCGTTTTCGTCACGTGATAAAGGTTCGTTGACGACGATATCTAGTCATAATTTTCGTTGACGAAAGCAACACTAATCATGTGCTCGTGCGACCAGCTGAGAAAGTTAGTTGCAAAAGAGCGACCAGTGGGAAGAATGAGCCTGCAGCCCTGATATGCATTATACAGAGGCAAGAGGAAAATAAAAAATACCATCGAAAGACAGTAAGTTCCCCTCAGACATACATTCATATAAACTCCTACCCCTAACTAAATGGCGACTTGTTTACCATCTCAACTGATTTGAATCGTCACATATTTAAATCGATTTTCAACCGGCTCGCGGTTAATCGTTACATCCCTAATTCCTGTTGAATAAAAGTATAAATTTCTTTCAAAAAAATCTTGCTGACCCCAAATTTTTAAAAGAGTATATACATAAATACCTAAAAAAAAAAATCTCTCTCTCTCTCTTCTCTATATATAGGCTATATATATCTATAAAATATTATTGATTGGCCGTCAATAGAGAAAGATGCTTAACCAGATAACAAGATGCTATAGTAACAGTAACACCATCTGCCAGCAGAGGCTAACTAAATCAAGCTAACTAACCAAACCTTGACCCCTACAATAAATTTTCATAAATCTCACCTTCCTAAACAGAGCAAAGGATGAGTTAACAGAGAAAGTGGCCTGGACTGAATTAACTAGTAACCTAAAGAAAAAAGTCCCAGTTAATGTTCCAGATTAATATGTCTGGGAAACTGGCCATTTATGTTTTATGAATACCAGATATGAGCCATAATTCTGTCACAATCCTTAGTCGACTGATTCTTCCAGCAGTGCCAAGTTTTCATGTGATTGTCTTGACTTTCAGCATCCATGCTGTTTTTTTCCCCCCAAATCCAAATCAGAGAGCGTTTAGCAATTAATAATTGATTAATTGAATCAATAATTGATTTGACTGAATAAAAGCAAGCATGACTAATCAATTCCTGAACATTCTGCTCACATTGTCTGAGCTAATTTCCAAACATAAGACTCTTGCACTCTCTCTCACAAACACTCATTGTGCAATAAATTCATTTTCAACAGGAAATACAGTCCCCAAGTCAAGACACTTAATGGTCACTCTGCTATTTGCTATGTAAACTTGTATGCATATACGTACAGCTCATATATGTTTGAATAGGTAAATTACTAGTCTTATGTAGCTTGGTTGCAGCACACTGAACTACAGTCTGTCCTTCACATCAGCATTCAAATGTTTATGTTTGGACCTGTGCTGACTGAGGGCTCACTACACTGAGAACTGCTGCATCCCTATATGAATCCAACATTGAAACACAAGCAAAAATGTCAGAAAATAATAAAGAAACAGGAATTTGGAAAAAAAAAGGGAGGGATTTAGAAACAGCCTCTGACCAGATATCGCTCGTCATCTTTCATCTGGGGTGTGCGGATCAAGTGATTCTGCTCTCCTCTCCAGTCCCCAAAACGACGAAAAAAGTAATTGGAGAGGAAACGGTTAATGGGATCCCTGATGATGTTTATGTAGACAGGCTGTTCTATCCTAAATCTGAGAAAGAAAGAGACAAAGAGGATAAGCACTGAATTGTTCACCAATGTTTGGCTGCATTTTTATCTTGGATTAATCAGATACATTCAGATAAATAATTCCTGATTTGCTTACCTTGTGAAATTGAGAAAGTGAACATGTCTGGTGTACAGAAAAGGCTGCGTAATAGTGCTAATATTTCTCATCAAATCCACCTGGCAAAAAAATCAACACAAATAAACAGATCAAAATGCATGTTACATAACCATTCATGACCATCTCTTTATCCAACAACGCTGACAATTTAACAAAACAAACAGCAATGGGGTTCAACAAGTTAATACAATCGCAGAGCACCAATTCAAAAAGTTATATCTGGTAGTAATAATACAATTTCATGTATTTCATGTATGCTACATGAAAAGTACTTACTATATACATTATTCCTGTCAAACAAATAAATAAAACACTCGTAAACTGAGACATAACTAGACAACTAATTAAAACTACTGTCCAACAGATTTTGTACAGCATATGAGAACACAACCACATCATACGTGTGCTACACTTTCTTCAGTTGCTATAAAACAATAATTCTTCAGAAACAGCGGTGGATCTAGTGCTGTCGTGATTCATCGATTTTATTCGACTATTCCTAAAGAAATGGGCAAATATTAAAGATTAAGTGGACATTTGAATAAAATTATGCTTGGTAAATATTAAACAAACAGATCGGGCAGCAATGTGTAAAAATAATCATCAGGCCGTTGGCGCCCTCTGCAGGCATTTGTTATAATGCGAAAAGTATGTTAGCTCTGTTGTTTATAATACATTATGTATTTTAACATTTTTTTTCAGAAATACTGCACATTTACATTTTTCTCCTAAATAAATTCTGGTAAATAACATTTCTGGTCAATACTCCTTTAAAAAGTGTTTTTTATTATAATTGTATTATTAGTAGACTAGAACACATGGATATGTTGTCATTCTTACACTATAATACTGAACTTTGGTTTCAGTGATTTGGACTATGAGATGGACACTTGCTTCTTGCACTCTGTTGCACTTTACTTTTGCTTTAAAAAAAGGATTTCATAGAAATTTGTAAAATTAAAAAGTAAAATAGTTGATTTTTTTTGTGGGAAATTAATCGTTTAGATTAATCGACAAATTAGTCGATAGATTAATCGAAATAAAAATAGTCGTTAGTGGCAGCCCTAGGTGGATCCATTAAAAAAATTAAACCAGAAATGCAAAAACACTGCAAACAGACCTCGTCTCTCCAAGTTTCAGAATCACACACACCAAGAAAACATTCCTCACTTGGATAGTGCATGGTGCAGTGGAAAGTTATTAGGTCATCTGATGAGGCTGACTTCTCATTACCTTAATGTTTCCTAATGAGGGCCAGCTGTGGCCCCAGTCAGCTCTGATAGAGCCCATGTGTCCCTAAATGCATGTTACGGTCTCTAAAAACATACACAGACAGGCATAAGGAGACTTAACAATTCCTATAACGGATCGCCATATGAAGAACGGGATGGCGTAATGTTGGTCTGGTGTGCCAGGACGGTGTGTAGAGCGCAGCTTCCTGTAGTGCTCAACAATAGGTTCCAGAAGTTTCCAGTTTGGGAAAGACCACCCTCAGAATTCAGATTTCATACCAAAACCTAAACCTCTTTGTGCTGCTTGGCCCACATCTCTGTCAAACAGCTAACAACACTGTAACAAGTGCTCTGCTCAAGCTTCAATCCTTTATCAAATGCTGCGTCAAAGCCAAAACACACAAAGTCTGTAACAACCTGAAGTAGTGACATCATCTTAATGAGAAAATGTCCTGTTCCATAAACGGTTATATAGGCAGACAGATGACCATACACTGTACTAAGTAATGATAAAAGAGGTGTTGGTTGAATCACATCATAAGTTACACCTCAGGTTGGGTAAACAGTTAGTGGTTTGGTGCATTGAGGCGAATTAAAAATATCTTATTAGAATAACATAACGGAACACAAGAGTCCGATGCTTTATTTTGCTTACTGTTACACAAGTCAGGTCACTGTAGGAATTTATTTTAGACACACCTGCCTTACAATGACCGAAAGTAACACTAAAGACCAACATATCGTATGGACCACTTTTATGATGGTCTCCATTTATTGTAACAGCAGAATCTTCAGAACTTTTCCATTTGAGTTCCATGGAGGGAAAGCCATACAGGTTGCAACAAAATGAGGGCGAGTAAGTTATATTAATTGGCAGTTGACAGACTTTCATTTTTGTGTAATCTATCCGTTTAATAACAAAACCTTGTTCTACACAATCACATAACAATGTGAAGATTATGAATGTAGAGGAGGTTCATTTGTTCTTGTCTTGTTGAAAGGTCGGTTAAAAACAGACTGAACATTCCCTCTATACACACAAATACACTTTCTTCTCTAAATGAGAGTTTTATGACCCTTATCCTGCAGTGAAATTTGCATTTGTTTAGGAGACTGTGCAGATGCTCCAAGGCCACAAATAGGTAATCAGTCACAATCACAGCTATCTGCCAGAGAAAACAAGTACTGGAAATGCACTTAATGCGCACAAGGAAAGTTATGCTAATTATGGACAAAGCCTATAGGATAATTTAATTTTCCAAGCATTGTCAATGGTTTATTAGATGATTAAACTTGACGTCTGTATCAATAATCCAATCAAAACATGATGTCAAATACTTGTTTATTAAGTAATTTAATCCGTTTATTAAAAAAAACTTGCTCCATCAGTCAAAACGTTTTTACTGGAGAAATTAATTATATAGATTGAGAACTCTATTTTAGCTCAAAGTTAAAAATTTCTTATTGATGGATTTGCTTATTACAATCATGCAGCTTTTTCTGTCAGCTCTATCTGTCTGGACACACACCAGTTAGTTTTTCTGATGGCAATGAAACCTGTATGTGTTCAGAGCTTACCACTGTAAACACACACATTTAATATTAGCTTTGAGTATTTACTGTACATCTAACCAGTTTACTCTCTAAAACCTATGAATAATGTATCACTCACATAATCATTTTATTCAAAAAGGTCCCATAATATCCAGACAGAATTATGAGTGTACTCCGGGATATGGACAGATTTCCAGTCAAAAAGTTCTTCATTTTCACGTTAGTCACTTATTTCCCTCTCCCGCTCAACAAACGTATATGAGCGTTATTTAATCAGCTTATTTATTTGAACTTTTCATAGGTTGATTTTAGCGGTGTGGAGGTGTGACGGTTTGACTCGACCCAAACGGGATGACAGAATGTTTTCGTTTCCTCTCCGCAAGGGAGGAAAGTGTGTATTTTTCTCCACAATGAGTGCCATTCGGATGCGTTTCATTGCTGCTGGCATTCAGCAAGCATTTCCCTTGGCAAACACCTTTATTCAATCACATCAGTTTTCATCATAGTATGCTTTTTATTTTGCTATACTTTTTGCTTGCTATACAATTTCTCAGAAGCATTAGTTGCCTCATACACACACACTGACCTGCTCATGCTTTGTGAGTCTGGTTTTGTTATGGATGTCAGAGGACACCAGGTTAAACTGGTGCTTTTCTGCCAGAATCCTCAGCAGCAGGACGACTGTTCGACTTCCACACTTGCCAACCCTGTTGTAGATCACCTGACTTGGGAATGGCAGCTCCTAGACACACAGACATAGAAATACATAGGTATTAGGAAGAACAAAAAAAAAAAAAAGGGAAATGAACAATATTGAAAGTCTGGCCAATTCTAAACGACAAAATTTTTATATTGTATTCAAGTACTGTTGGATGCTGGGTGATGGCGAAAGTTATCTAAATAAATTAGTGGACACAATTAGAAAGAAAGAAAGAAGGCTTTTGGAAGGTCTGTAACAAGTATTTTTAAATATTTATGAATAATAATTCCTGTTTTTACTAACAAGTACTTAAAGGGATAGCTCATTAAAAATTAAAATTCCAACCCTGTATGAATTTCTTTCTTCAAGGGTATTACCATTGTCAAGGCACAGAAACACAGTAAGGACATTGTTAAAATAGTCCATGTGACATCAGTGGTTCAACCATAATTTTACGAAGCTATGAGGATACTTTTTGTGTGCAAAGAAAACTCGTCACCCTAGCGCCATTTTGGAGAGTATCACGACACATGCGACGCAGGCTCAGCGCATGAGTGTTCTACATTAGCAGCACCACACGCATGACTTGTTGTCATTATTTTTGTTTTCTTTGTGCACAAAAAGTATTCTTGTAGCTTCTTAAAATTACGGTTGAACCACTGATGTCCCATGGACTATTTTAATGATGTCCATACTAACCTTCTGGAGCTTGATCGTGGTAGTACCCTTGCTGTCTATGGAGGGTCAGAAAGCTTTAGGATTTCATCAAAAGTATCGTATAATTTGTGTTCTGAAGATGAACGAAGGGTCTTACAGGTTTGGAATGACATGAGGGTGAGTAATAATGACAGAAATGTCATTTCTGGGTGAACTATCCCTTTAAGTGTCCCACTCAATGACACAATGGTGATACTGTAGCTCAGGTGTGGAACTAAAAGCTTCCCGTTTCCAGCTCGCTCAGATCTTTACTCCCTACTCCACACAACCTTAAGAATAGTTCTTTAAGAGAGAGTTGGAGGAAATTTGTAAATTCCTGGATGAACATCCAATGTGGAAGGAAGAATGGAATTCCCTGTAGGCCAGCATCCTAGATGAAATTGGGGTTTGAACTGCTTCTTTGTCCCCTGTGTGTGTGTGTGTGTTTGTATGAGAAATGCTCCTGAGAGAAAACATTTGTGTCAAAAACAGTGAGACAGGATGTTTTGTGTTTATGTTTGAATGTGTGACACGGTTTTTAACTTGACTACAACAGTCACCCTTACTTTTATTCAGGTCTGTAAACACTAGCTAAACGAGACCCCCTCATTCCTTTCATTATTTATTCTCTCTCAGTATTACACTCCATAGTGTGGTACAGCACTCTCCCAAAACAACAAATACGGTTCAAGTTCACAGAAAATGCTCTCTTTTCATCTCATGAGCACACACACATAAGAGGCCTTGTGTGAGCCCAGCTGCCTTGCTAATTCTCCCCCATCCCGTTTTCCTTCACTCAATCTTCATTTCCCTCCTTCTCTGGTCATTTCTACGTAACATCTCTTAGCTCATTATTACTCTGAGGAAATGTCCATCTGTATACACTATCTATCTATCTATCTATCTATTTATCTCAAATAAATGGCATTCTTCTCAACTTTCTATTCATCAAAATGAATCCTGAATTAATGGCACAAAAAGTTTTGATAGCATGAAATGTGTTTTGAACACAAAATCAGGGTCACAAAATTAGGATGACTTCTGAAGGATTACTGGATTACTGGAGTAATGGCTGCTGAATATTCAGCTTTGACATTTTAGAAATAAATTACATTAAAAAAAAGGTTATTTTTAATAGTAATAATATTTCAAATAGTTCTGTTTTTTTTCTATTCATCAAAATGAATCCTGAATTAATGGCACAAAAAGTTTTGATAGCATGAAATGTGTTTTGAACACAAAATCAGGGTCACAAAATTAGGATGACTTCTGAAGGATTACTGGATTACTGGAGTAATGGCTGCTGAATATTCAGCTTTGCCATTATAGAAATAAATTACATTAAAAAAAAGGTTATTTTTAATAGTAATAATATTTCAAATAGTTCTGTTTTCACTGTATTTATGATCAAACAAATGCAACCTTGGTAAGCTAGAGTAAGAGATCATTTCAGAAACATTAAAAACGTTTAAATGACCTCAAACTTTTGAATGGTTGTGTCAACTGATGGATTTAGCAGAAGTATTAACCAAAACAATTCACAAAGCATTCGATTTTCTATTTAACAGTACATAATCAGTACAGGCACACATATCGAAGTTACGACCTTGATGTTGCTTACATGCTTTACAGATGCTGTTAGTGGCTACTTGATAAAACTGAAACTGATATAGTTTGCTGTTGCATTTTTGTAGTATGTTTGTGTGCACCCTAAATATGTGGAGCTCTTGATAAATCTGTAAACATCTCTTCATAGTTTGTGTGCTTACAGACTCTAAGCTTGTTTTTCCACAGCTGTGAGATGTTAAAACTGGTTGTCATCATTGCTGGCTTGGGGTCGTTTAGTAACTGCGGGGGTTTCAGCTACCAAAGACTTTCCCAAACTGTACAGATCCACACTAAACATTATTACCTAGGAAAATAGTGAAGATTTATATAGACAGGTATATCTTTTTATAGTGAACAAAAGTAGTCCTGGTAGAAAGGGGGATGATTTATACACATGCACACATTGAACTGGACTTTGATTACATTACTTTCAAATTCAGGAAGTTATATTTTCCAACTGTTTTAGTCTTAGCTGTAAAATTTTATATATACATTTTTTATATATACACATGTGGTTTCAACCACATTCTTGTGCACATCTGTCTCTAGGGTGAGACATCTTTTAAATGTTTTGTTATTATCACTTGTGAGGTGATTCTGTCTATATATACACACACACATATAAAGTATATACACACACACACTCTGCAATGCATACACACTCACAAATCCATTGTTACTCCAAGTCTAGCTTGTTTAGAGAAGATCCTATAAAATATAATACTACAAAACTTTCCCTTTGACATTGCTAAACACTTTCTAAAACAATTTGCTATGATTGTCAGAAATTGTTTTAACAAACCAGATGGTGTATTTACAGCACTGCTCACGTGAGGCAGGATATTACATAAATTGTAAATAAAAATTTATTTTACAGTGGCATTGAGGTCTCTCGAGTGTTTATTCAATACAGGAAATGTCAGAACTTCCCTCTAGTTAGAAACAATAAAACATTGTTTGTACAGTTTACATTTGTACAGAGCTATAGCTAAAATTCACAAGAGTATTTTTATGGGTGGACCCTCCTCTCCAGCTCTCTTCTGGACTCTTCTGTCATATGCGTGTGCACTTGCACAGTTCTCAATACAGTCAATGAATAATTTCAGCATTCCAGAGTCTCTGAATCATTTGAACCCATTTCATAGAAAAGACACAAAAAACAAAGAGATGGAAAATAGCACATGTAGTGCAGAGAAGATATTCTCCACAGATATTTTTAACCACAAAACACTGATTATAACACTGATTACAATCACAGTGATAAATAATTTAAAATCTACAAGGAATTTAAACCGAGTGAGTTTTGCACATGTAACAAGTGCTTCAAGACTCTCATCTTAAAACAACTGTGTCCTATAACACATCTAATGACTAGTTTTTCAACAAGTCTCTATAAAAACCATAGACAAACCACAGTGATGGCTTCAACCCTACTATTAAGAAGCAGTTTCATCATTCATCCTCTGAGTAAACCCAGCTGAAACTGTCACTGGGTTTAACCTCTTTTGCAGAGTGCGTGTAATGACACTCCTTGTAAATTAAGTTTGTTCTTTCCACTCATGCTATTTCACGCTTTCTCTCTCTAATCTGTGCATCAGCAAACAGAGCTGTCGTTCCTCTGTAGGAAGCGCTGATGAGATAAACTGTCATGAGTGTGTGTTGAGTTAACCCTTTGTTGACCCTGACAATTTTAAACATAAAAAAACTAAAATAATTTTTCTAAGTATTTTGGGGCTTTTAGTCCATGTCTGTTATATGCTAGCATACTCCAAAAGTTGATAAAATACAATAAAATAAATATTTTTTTTTTCTTCTTCCAGACAAATTGAGCAAAAAATTTTTATTTACGAATTTATTTTTAATTTAGCATGTTTTTACCAGGCAGTGATGTAGTCTACTGGCTATTAATAAAACTCTCTACAATTTGTACCACTTAAACTTCCTCTTTCATTAGCAAACACATCAACACAGGAAATAAAGCTGCAATCGTCAAACCATTTCATCGGATTGTTAAATGTGAATGTGTGAATGTGTGTGTGTGTGTGTGTGTGTGTGAGACCTTCCATTACTGTCAAATCTGAGGAAATAAGTCTACAATAAACACTAAGTCTTGAAATGATTTCCTCTAGTGTGAGAAGGCCAAAATAACAGGACAATTGAAGACAGGGATATTTTGTGAAGTACATTTGGAATTGGAGGAAAACAAGAGACAGAAAACAAGTTCGATATTGCAAAAAACAACTTACCCTTGGTGTAGGAGGCCCGTGGTCGTCAACAAAAGTGGATTCTCCTGTGAAAAGAAAATTGAGTGTCAGAGTGAGCTGCTTACATAAAACATCTGTTATTTAGGAAATCATAAGCTTAGAGAGCAATGTAGACAAAACAAAATGTTTTAGTGCATTCAGTGAAAAACTGTATTTTGAAATAGAGCAGATTCAGCAGCTGAGATGTATCAGCACTGGAAATACGCATGGGAGCTAGATGACATCCGCTATGAGGGTTTTGAGAGAGAAACGGTCTCTTAATGCAACTCCTTCTGTGGTACAGTAGTGGCTAAAAAGGAGGAGAGACATTCTTTCATCTCAAACAAGGGTCTTCTTTTTAACCTCCACTCCAGATGGCACGCTGGAATCAGTGCTGTGCTTCCTGTGTTAAATGGATAGTTCACCCAGAAACTAAAATTGTCATCATTTACTCACACTCATGTTGTTCCAAACCGTTATGGGTTTTTTCTTCTATTGAATATAAAAGAAGATATTTTGAAGAATGTGGGCAACCAAACATTTGTTGGTCCCCATTGACTTCAATAGTGTGAAAAATGGGGACCAGAAACTGTTTGGTTACCCAGATTCTTCAAAATATCTTTTTTTATGTTCAGCAGAGGAAAGCAATTCCTACAGGTTTGGAACAACTTGAGGGTGAGTAAATAATGACAGAATTTTGATTTCTGGGTGAACTATCCATTTAAATGGAAAGTTCATCCAAAACATGATAATTCATCATTTACTCACCCTCATGTCTTTTAAAACCTGTATGACTTACTTTCTTTGGAACACAAAATCAAATATTTTTTGCAGAATGTGAAAGCTGCTCTGTACCATGCAATGAAAGTGAATAGTGGCCACAGCTGTCAAGCTAGATTTTTAGTGAATTAACTACATTTTGGTCTGTTTCTCACACAAAATATCGTATGGCTTTCGAAGACTTAAAGAATATAGTGCATAAGTCACATGGACTTGGCTTTTATGGTGCTTTTATGCCTTTTTGGAGCTGGTCCCCATTCACTTTTATTGTGTTGAATAGAACAACTCCGAAAGCTACACATTTCCTTTTGTGTTTCAAGCAAAAAAGGCAGTCATGGAATGATATGAGGGTGAGTAAATTATGACAGTATTTTCATTTGCACATTAAGGTGCACTGCTATCTGTTGTGCACTGGCTGTGTCTGTCTGCTGAATAAATAACATACCCAGCAACACAGAGCTGCTATACTTCTCAGCCTATCTTCAACTTTCTCAGTATGAGGGTGAGTAAAAAATGAGATATTCATAGACAAAGATCGATGCGTTCTCTTCTCATCCTCGGAGTAAGAATTCATAAATCATAAATAGTTTCGGCACAGATAAATCACAACTGAACGGAAGGTGATATGCAGAACACGAATGGTGTCCGCAATGTAACATCTTTCAATATGTGCCACACTATATGCATGTATAAGTAAAAATGCTCTTCTAAAGCATAATTCTTGTGTTTACTAAATTATATAAACTACCATTTAAAGTTTGGGGTCGGTACGTTTCTTAAATGTTTTTAAAAGAAGTCTAACTTTTTGATCAAAAATACAGTAAAAATATTGTGAAATATAATTACGATCTAAAACAACTTTTAATGCATTTAATAATTTTAAAATGTAATTTATTCCTGTCATGGCAAAGATGAATTTTCAGCAGCCATTACTGTCACATGATCCTTCAGAAATCATCCTAATATGTTGACTTGGTGCTCAAATAACACTTCTATATGTATTATTACCGATGTTAAAAACAGCTGAGCTGCTCAATATTTTTTGTAGAAACAATGATATTTTTTTTTCAGGATTCTTTGATTAGATAAAAAAAAACATTTATTTGAATTAGAAAGTGTGTAATATGACAAAATGTCTTTATTGTTTGATACCAAAACTCTGACCCCAAATCGAGGTCAAGGGGATCTAAATAGATCCTGTATAACATATCTCAGTTTCTCTGTAATCCATTAGAAGACCTCATGTTCCTGTTTTAGTGGCTGCTGTCAGCACGGAGATCTTGTTAATGGGGCCATATGTCTTCTTAAACATGCACACTATGTACACTATACTCATGTGGACTCATATGCTGCGGAGTGACACACAAGCTTGATTCAGTCCACTCATCCAGTCAGTGCATTTTTAAAGAGTTTTTATGGTAAGTTTCTTTCAAATGGTTTGAAATAAAACATCTGAAACCAAAAGAAAATAAACATGTGGTGAGTTTACTATCTTGTACCATTTTCCAGACTAAGTGAAGGATTAGTTGATAGTAACAAAATATAAAGACAAAAGTGTTACAATTTCAGCATTTCAATGTTCAACTGAAGTCCATTCTATACTGCTGTTAAAATTGCCCATTTAGGCCTCAGTATGACCTTGTCCTAAAATGTACTTGTCAGGACCATCAGGATTACACAGTTTGTGGGGGCTTGCTCAATTATCCACTGAAAGCCCCATTGCCCTGCTCACCCCCCACGACGGCACCCTCTGTCCAGGCTTTGGTCTGCATCTCACTTCATCTGATACTGGACCTTCATAACCCCTCAGAGCCAATTAGCACCTCCACTAACTACCCGTCCCGGCTGCAGTCCTCTGGGGTCAGATTCCCAGACTCCAGGAGAGTCATTCAGGTCGCCAGGCTTGGAAATAATTGGAGACTAAAGCAGTAGAAATGCAAAAATGTACAGACAGAGGACTTCTGCAATGATTAAAGTGGGCCAGTTGCATGAAACAGAGAGTGGGCGAAGGCTGGAAAGAAATCAAACAGCTGTAAATTTCTGTCAACTTTGTTCATGGGTTGTGTTGTAGCCGATTCAATGTTTGCTTTGGTTATGAGAGGATCATTAATAACCTATAATTACGACACAAAAAGTCATAATGACACTGATGGAAAAAGCCACTAACTTGGCATAGTCCCCAGCAGGAACATATGAAAATAAAATCAATCGTTTCACATAAAAGTAGCCTTTTTTGGCTTTCATAATGCAAAACATTCTCTGAAATGGAATTTTCTCTACGCATCTGGCTTGGCTTAGGAATGCTGTTGTTTGTGTCGGAATGCCATAAACGTATTCTTTCGGCATGTAATGTTTAATTTGAGTTATGAAACTGGTGGCTCTGTAAAGTATGGTTTAGAGATGAGGAGAGCCAGAAATACTCCAGAGACGAAAGCAGGAAGCCGCACAGGATCGACGTCTCGGTTGTGAGGTACTGTGAAACACAAAAGCAGTTGGCTACAGTCTCATTTTCAGATCACATCCTGCAATAATCTGTGACCACAGGTAGAACATTCTTGAGACCTTTGAGCACTGAAGGACATTCTGAACACGACGATTAAAGCAAAAAACATCTGGCACTGGCTCAGCATTCTTGTGAACTCAAAAGCTGATTTGATCTGATTTTAGGGAACAAGCAAGCCAACCATCCAAAGCAAACAATGTCAGTGTGAACCTGTTGTCGATTGATGGCCCTCAATGAAATAAATGTGTTGACTTCCATAAAATAGACGTAATATATATTTTCTTCACTCAGATGTGCATGCCGCAAAATTTCACAAAACCATATTGTCATACTAATGGATTGCCCTCACAACTATATGGAAATTGGGCAAAAAATACTAAAATCTTTCTACATAAAGTGCTCTGATGTTCATATTAAAACATTGAAAAAAGGCGCGATAATGGTATTTCATAATTCACAAAATAATACCTACACAACCTCTCTCACAACATACCTGCATTCAGATTAATAAATGCTAAAGATAATACAAAACTCACCTGCGGTCTGTAAGTGACAGCAAAATTGTAATATCTATTTCTAACCCATTTCTAAATTTATTGCTGTATTTAGAGTTTATTTGGTGTCATCTTTAAGTTAGACGCCATTATAATCAGAATTTCCTATACTTTTTGCTTGAAATTAAATGGAATTTAAAGTACTTTCATTTCAATAACCAATGTTGCCCAAATTCAAATTTTTCAATAAAAACTTACTTAAATTGCTCTTAAACTCATCAAAACTTTGATACAGCTGATGTATTCAAGCTTGAGCAAGCTTGAAAAATGTAGATTAAAAAAATAGCTAAATAATATAAATAAGAGTCATCATAGTGATTTGATTATTAACAGGATTTAACAGTTTCCATCCCAAATTAGCTCCAGGTACTTGCTTCAGTCCATAACTGCCAGAACATGTCTGAACTAAGACCTTATAAAAGTCTCAACTGATCTCATTGTCTTACACCTGCACCGTACTCAATGAAGTAAGTGCTTTAGTGAGTGTGTGACAGACAGGCTGACAGCACACTTATGTACTCTCACACTCCTGCTGGTGTGTAGGCAGCACTAACACCACTGAGACAAGAACATATGGCTGAGGGTTAGAGGGTCCTGAAATAATGACATCAGTCTGGTTAAACACACCCTGTTTAAATAACATCAGAGACTTCTTTTTTTATTTCAGACACCATCATATTCCACTCCCCCCATGGCATAAAGCAGCGTGCATGTTTCTCATTCTGTGTGGTGACACGAGTGCTTCTAGCCATATGTGGTCGGACTTCACTCAACCCTTTGATTTAGCATGTAGGAGTGGCCCGAAATTAAGCCCATCAGTCTAATGACAGTGGGGGGTTTAAGAGTCTCCACCCAGGACTGTTATTCTATAGGTCTGACCATGTTACTACCTGCCAAATGTGGTAGACATGATGGACATCTGCTTTCCTTTTTTATAAATAATTGCTACGTTTTGTTGTTTTAGGAACCGTCACAGAGTGAGGTCTAAGTCCTTGAAGGAGTCTAGAAAGCTGTGTCAGGATTTATAAGGTGGCTTGCATCTAATGTTAGCATGGGCATGACTGGTTCAACCTCTTATGATTAATTTGTGAGGCTTTGATTTAAAAAGTACACCACATTTATGCCACACATAACATCATTTGTAGTGTCCAGTGCTCCCCACACAATGACCAGGAGATCTTTGCAGTTCATTGCACGCCGAATATTAATT